GTACCTACAAACTAGAGGAACTAATTGTAATACCTGAATTGTTTGTTTTCATATTGAGCTCATTTGTTCTAAAGTTGTGTTTTATTAAATAGTTTCCATGCAGAAAACCTCAGGCAAAATAATATTATTCCATCATGTGTATAGCTGCAGCCAGTGATCATTTTTATTATCAGTACATCTGGCAATTTCTTTAATGACAGAGTACTAGGTGGTTTCTGAATACCCGGGGATATAATGAAACTCAGGCTAAATTTCCACCAGACATCATTTAACATTTTATCATTTAGCTGATTGATAAACAAACCTCTTAGCACTTAATGAATTCATAGAAACAATTTGTGAGACAGGCTTCATATCACATTTCAAACCAAATTATTATCCCAAAATAATAATAATTAGGAGCAAATGTGCCTTTAATAATAAATACTACTGACATAGCATGTGCCACTTATGGTATAGGCTATATCACAAAATTGTATTTAAAAAAAGGAAATGTATTTTAAAAGCCTAATATTTCAGCTGCAGTTTGTTAGAAGGCTAGTTCAGTGTCAGCAGTGTCTGGTTACCTTAGGCTGTTTCAACTGTTGTCAGTCAAATGTTAGTCCCAGTGCTTCAATAAACACTAAAAATAACCAATTACTACTAGTAATTGTGGATATCTCCAAGTCCAGTTCAGTAGTTATCCACCTGCAGTAAATGTTGATTAAGTGTGTAGCCTATCTGACACGTAGCAGCTGGAAGTGAACTGACACAACATATTTTTTCAGAAGCTACTTGAGCCAAATACAGGACCTCCACACTGGAGGTCCTGTTTCAAAAATATTAGGTTTAAAGGCTTACGTTATTGATATGACTGCAAGAATAACTGAGAGAATGCCACTTTTGAAACTTACAAGGTGGGATCCTTAAGACTGAATACATAGCCTATTAACCCCCCTGCCAACACACATGCACACTGACCTCCCAAAGTCAGACTGCAGATTTTACACTTTATAGAGTTTATGGTATTTTTATATATACTTAAGGGCTAATGGGATCTGTGAATACCCTACTGTTCTAAATCACGCACTCTCATTTGAATATTTAGTAGCCTACACTAGATGTAACATATTTGTATAAGTATGCAATGGGGCAGAGAATTCATAAAAGGCTGAAACTTCTAATTGCTATAAAAAACCTTTTCATTCAGATGAGAAACTCAAGTGTGTGTGTGTGTGTGTGTGTGTGTGTGTAGCCATGCGTTTCCCATTCAGCGTGTACGCTACAGTGCAGACTGCAGCAGTGGAAACTGCAAATAGGCTGTGTTACATTAAAGATTTACCAGTTTATCAAACAGTCATTAATCACAAAGTCTTCCATGCATTTAATAGCAGCTGAGCTGAAAGCTACTCTGCTCGATGGGCATGATGGATTACCACTGTGTGTTAAATACATGCATCATAGAGCTCATGTACTGTTATATTTCAGTTATCTCGTGCTTTGGTTCTGTGATCAGCATCAGAGAGGCTTGTACTAACCTTTTCATTAACAGTTATAGGCTCTATAACTGGGCCCACCTTGACTTGTTTAGCTTCTGATTTCTGACTATCTTCACCCTCAAATACTAAAAATTATTTTTCGCATTTTTGCTCAGTGCCTAACATGACAGTTGCACTGAATGTGCACCTGACCCAGTGTGACCTGTGTGGGCTGGTTACATTTTAATATAATTAGCCTAACTGCCTCTTTTAATTGTATTTATTTATTCTAATTTCAGTCTCATAAGCTGTTGTAAAAGGGTAGTGGTACCATGTTTATCCCTTTTGTTTGCTTTGGAACAACACAAAAAAGTACAGGGGAAAAAAGCCCAATCTGATCCATTCCACATGGACTGGACAGAATTATCAACACCTTTTCAAATTCATCAGAAATAATTGTATTTCCAGCCTGTGATGCTCCTTTAATTTGGAATGAAACTCACCTGTAGCAATCAACAGGTGCTGGCAACATAGAAATCCCACTTGTAACCAATTAAATGGAGAAAAGTCGACTCAACCTTTGTGTCATGTGGACCACACTGAGCATGGAGAAAAGAAAGAAGAGCAAAGAATTGTCTGAGGATCTGAGAACCACATAGTGGAAAAGCCTGGACAGTCTCAAGGCTCCAAGTCCATCTCCAGAGATCTGGCTGTTCCTGTGTCCACTGTGGGCAACATTGTCTAGACGTTTACAGCCCATAGTGCTGTAGCTAATCTACCTGGTCGTGGTCGAAAGAAGAAAATGGATAACAGACTGCCAACAAAGGATAGTTCCAATGGTGGATAAAGAACCTCAATCAACATCCAAACAAGCCTACTGCTGACACAGAAACAGATATGTCATTTAAATCACACCCCATGATGCTCTGAGTTTCTCTCCTCTCCTCCCCTCCCCTCCCCTCCCCTCTCCTCTCCTTTCCTCTCTCCCTATGCTTCTATATGCCACCATTACACATTACTAACTTTGTGTCTCCTCTCTCCTGTAGTGTGTCCTCTCTCTCTCTCCCTGTACCTTTCTGCAGGTTGCCCTGGAGCTCTACATCTCTGACGAGCAGTCACCAGCCACATCGACCTGATCAGTGTTTGATTGTTGTGTCTTGTTGCTTTTCTTCTTTTGTCTCTCCTCTATCCACTCACCCCAACCGGTCGAGGCAGAAGGCCGCCCACCAAGAGCCGGGGTCTGTCTGAGGTTTCTTCCGTTAAAGGGAGTTTTTCCTCCCCACTGTCGCCAAGTGCTTGCTCAAGGGGGATTTGTTGGGTTTTCCCTATGTAATAATATTGATAACAGTAAGGTCTAGACCTTACTCTGTAAAGTGTCTTGAGATGACTTTTGCTGTGATTTGGCGCTATACAAATAAAATTTGATTTGATTTTATTTGAAACATAAAAAAGATTGGAGTTTGCCAAAACTTACCCGAGGAAGCAACAGTCCTTCTGGAAGAATGCCCAGTGGACAGATGAGACTAAACTAGACTTTTTTTGGTCGAGCATATCATTCTACTGTTTTCAGAAAATGAAATGAGGCCAGAAAAGAACAGTCCCTACAGTCAAACACGGTGGAGGTTCACTGATGTGTTGGGATTGCTTTGCTGCTTCATCCACTGGATCACTGGCTCTTATTCTTTCACTTCTGCAGTTCAGTTCATTTGGTCTTGACCAAGGGAAAAAAATGGCATACTCGGGTTATTTGACCCTGTCATAGACCCTGAGCTTAGTTTGTCTGTCGGCCCTGTTCATCATCGCATATACTTTTCAATAAAGAGTTTGCCAGGAGGGCAGTGGGCCCTTTACGGTTTTTAGGTCAACATTATGCTTTGAGCATAGGACAAAGGTGGAAAGGATCTTGCTCTAGCCTCCACACTGTCTAAATTTTTCATAATAAAAAACTAAAGAATAAATGAGACTTAACTGGAATCATGTTTTTTTTTCAGAAATAATGTAAATTGGTTTATGAGTACTTGTCAAGTCTGTTGCAACATAGAAGGAGCACAGACATATTAAAAGTGAAAACTATCACTTTTAAACTGACTGACTGGTCTTAAAACAGAGATCAATTTTCAGCCAGGCCTGTCTCAGACTATAGCCTGCTTTGGAATAATTAACACCTCCATCATGTTTTTTTTTTTATCCACTAAAGATATCCAGACACAGATTGCATGTAAACAAATAAAACTGTTTTCACACAGACTGGTTATACTGACTCAGTTCACATTAATGGCATGTTATGTAAATGCATCTGTTTTGCCAAAGCATACAGCATAAGAAAACACTGCGAGAAAGCAATGGCAAATGTGTGATGTCAGATGCACAAACTTAACACAAAGGGGCTTTACTGGCATGAAAGTTGCAATAAACAGTGTTGCCAACTCATCAAAATACAGTTTATAATTTAAAAGTATTTAAATATTTGGACAGTTCAAAAGAAAACTAAACAGCACTCAGTGAGCACAAACCTCTGCCAAGGCAGCTCAGTGTCTCCATAATGCCATTCCACCTAAAAGCAATATTCCCATGATAGTTTGATCCTTATAATATAATTCCTTGATCATGAAAACCTACTGTTGGCATTTGGAATCACACTGATTCATTCATTCATTATTACTTTGAACAGTATTTGAAAAATAGGTTACTGAATACCACAAATGTCCAAATAAATGTCACATGCACACTGACAAAACAATGTGCACTTATTGTCCTTCACTGACATACCATTTTTCTGCATGCAAGGCCGCCTGCTGCTCTTATTAGCTCCACTGGTCTTCACTCCAAGTGCTCAGCAGTGCAGCTCTGCACTTTTGCCACAAGGGGCCCTTCTCATACAGTCAACAGCCTTTCCAATACTCACAATGGTGAAGAAATATAAAAAAAATTCCTGGATCTGGATGATAATCTGGATCAGTCATATTCTACCTCTCAAAAAAAGTTTTATCCAAATCCATTTTCGACTTTTTGATTTATGCTGTGAACAAACAAACTCATACCATTTTGATTGATATGAATTAATTATAGCCCTATATGCACAGTATATCATGAGAATGTGCGTATTTAGGCCATTCACTGTCTCTCAGGTGGTCTCCCTCACCAACAAGTATTTTTACTTTTGAGAACTCATTTAGTTCTTTGAAACCTGCAATTACCGAGTTTCTTATTTCATATAATTTGTTTTTTTTTACATTGTAGAAGGAAATGTATCTCTGTCTCGACCTTACTTGTGCAACAGTAACTACATATAGTGTTTTCTTATGGCTGCCATGACTTTTTGTCTTCCTTTTTCGATTACTAATCTGTCCGGACTGAGTCTTTACTGGTTTAGGATCTGTGTGCACTTTTTTTCAAATCTCTATCAGTAAAGAGATATTCTGATAAATTCACAGTTTCTTTTTAAGGCCAGATGCCATTCCAGTCTGCTCTGGCTTTTAGTTCCAAATAGGTTTCCTTGTTGTGAGACTGCGCTCTCTCTCTCTCTCTCTCTCTCACCCCGAACCCCATCCTCGCCTACGTTCCTCCCTCCAGCTGTGGATTAAACATCCTTCACTCCCTCACGACGTACAGACTGTCTACATCACGGATCGTTAAATGCTGCTTCGCATGTGAAGGAAAATGTGTCGTGTCACCTCCAGCGGAGGATCCTATTGTCAGCGGGAGTAGCGACGGCTCTAGACGCCGTTTCAGGAGGCGCAGACCCGGGTAGCTGTCCTTAAAAACCCCGCCACCATGGATCTCTCCTTTATGGCAGCGCAGGTAAAGCCCTCCCACTTTGTTCCTGCTTTGCACCGACCTCATTAGAACGAGCTGAAAATGCCTGTGTGGGTGAGAGATTGAACATTCACGAAACGAAATGCGACCTTATTGAAACTTTGTTCTATCCGAATTACGAATTGAAAATAATGTGCTACATGCTAGCAAATTGGCAATTTTTTATACCTAGGCTATATATTTCAAAAAGATGTTTTATATTCGACCAAGAGTTGAACTAAATTCATTCAGTTTTATGTGGCTAAGCGAGGAAAGTTTCCATTTAGGCTGCTGAGCTGAACCAAACATCGTTTACTGACCGAGTCAAATAAACAATGCCAATTGAAATATGAGGTGTTTTTAATAAACGTGCTGCATCAGTAAACAAACGTTATCTGTTTTTGTCAAGCCAGCCCCACTTGTTGAAATATTCTGGCTCAGGATTTATTGTCTGTCTTGCTTGGCATTCATGCTTTTGCTGTTTATTCCACTCTTGATGTTTAGTGACAAGTTGAACTTCATTGGGCAGGAAACATACTGAAGGGCTTTGGTTCTTCTTACCATTGCTAACTCTGAGAGACGAGACAGTCCAAGTAACTTCAAAACAGTGCTGATTTATTCAAAGGATCACAGGTAAAATTAACATTACACGCTCAGGTATCTTGCACCTCCAAACTGCTCACAGGCAGATGTAAGATGAAAGACCCTGAACCCACCAGGCCTATACATTATATCCCTTCGGTTGGGCTAGCCCCATACTACACAGAAACGTCAACCGAGACGTCTCTGTTACCAGCTTTGCAGCTGGTCATAGCAGTAGTCAAAACATGAAGCAAATCAATGTGTGCGTGTGTGTGTCTGTTGATTAAGTGGTGTGTAACTAAAAACATTCTCACGACCTCTAGTACATGTCGTGACTTAAACATAAGAACATATTATGGCTAAGGCTACAGTTATACACATCATAATAATAATATTAAACATCCTGTCTGCTGACAGTCATCAACTTTTCTCTCTAGTTATCCTTGACCAGATGTACCCTGTAGAAACTCATAAGCATGCCTAAGCATTTAACAGTCTAACTAGACATCCTATCTCCACTAAACATTTCTAATACATAAAGTATCTATCCAATTTCTATCTGACTAAAAATACCTAACAATACACATCCCATTGTGCCATTGTATGTGGTGTTAATCAATTTCCCTTTAGGGATAACACAACGAATCATCTTTAGAACAACAGCACATAGAAAACGCAGTGGTGAGATCGAGCCTTCACATTCCATCTGCTTTTAATCCATCCTTCCTTCTCTCCCTCCATGTTTCTCTCCTATTCATGTTTGACTTCTGTTAAATTTTCTAGCCTTTCACATTTAATCAGAAATTTTAATGTATTTCTATTCTTGTTTATTTTATATTACTAACATGTATAGTCCATTATCTCCTATAGAAAGTAGCACGAGATTCTCATTATGTCAGTACAGTGTGACCACGAGACATCCTGATTATGATATTCTCATGGAGACATAGTGGAGTTTAAATATGACTCTGAAATGAACTGAATTAAAAGACACAAATAAAAGAAACATTATGCCAACATTAGTATTCTCTTCACCATGCTGTCATCATCATTGTCAGATTTTTTTAGATTTGATATTTTTATTGGCATATTTTGATGCAGTAATTTCTCCAGGTGGGAGGGTTCACTCGCTGTGACAGCTGCCTCTGGGTCTTTATGCCGGATGCTGTCCGGTGTCATCCTCTGTTCCACCTGGCAGTGTAACAGCACCTTTGATAGGGTATAAAATTCTCTACTTCAATATCAAGTCAAGTCAAATTGTTTATTCAAATCAAACCAAATTTATTTATACAGCACTTTAAAAACAACATCCAGTTGACCAAAGTATTTTACATAGGCAGAATAAAATCACAATAAATAACTAAAATAAAATAAATAGATTCAGTGGAAAAATAAAACAATAACTCAGACAGACAGATGACACACATTCAGTAAATTAGGTTAAAAGGTTTATTGTCATATGCATAGTATAGAATTGTGTTTCCCTGTACAATGAAATTCTTACTTGCCGTCCACATGTATGCCACAAAATATAAATGAAATATAAAGTAGATGAATAAGTGACACAAAATCTAAGGCACTTTAAGCAGCAAATGCAGCAATATAATAAAAATATATAAGAATATAATAAGAGAATGTATCCTCAGCTGTTTAGGAGTCTGATGGCAGAGGGAAAGAAAGAGTTTTTCAGTCTGGAGGTCCTGCATGTCACACTTCTGAACCTTTGGCTGGAGGGTAGCTACATGAACAGTCCATACTGGGGGTGAGGATGGAGGCAGCTTTGTGTACCCTGCAGTGATAAATGCTCTGCAGAGAGGGCAGTGGAGTCCTGGCATACCTGACTGTTTATCCAGGGCTTCTGGTTGGAGAACCTCCTGATTTGTATGGTGGGCACAATGTTGTCAACACAACTGCTGATGTACCCGGTCACATAATCAGCATATTCCTGTATGCTGACAGAAAAGTCCTCCGAGGTGGCTGCAGTTTTAAACACATCAAATCAAATCAAATCAAATCAAATTTTATTTGTATAGCGCCAAATCACAACAAAAGTCATCTCAGGACACTTTACAGAGTAAGGTCTAGACCTTACTGTTATCAATATTATTACATAGGGAAAACCCAACAAATCCCCCTTGAGCAAGCACTTGGCGACAGTGGGGAGGAAAAACTCCCTCCTTACACACCCAAACACAAAGACACACAGATTGAAGCGTTCTTTGATGGCTGATGAATAGATAAATAGACAAGAGGCCAGGAATGAATGATGTGAAAGAATAGCTGCAGAAGAAAACAGACAATTCTCTGGAGACTTTTCTGTGGCTCCCCATATATTTTTACTATTTTACTGTCCCCCATTTTCTATTCTGCTTCTGTGGACTCTAGGAACCACAAGTAAACCTGCACTCTGAGAGCGAAGTGCTCTGTTAGGATGATAAGGCTCTACGAGGTCTTTAAGATACGATGGAGCCTTGTCATTAAGGGCTTTGTATGTTAGGAGAAGGATTTTAAATTCTATTCTGAATTTTACAGGGAGCCAGTGGAGAGAAGCTAATATGGGAGAGATATGATCTCTCTTGCTAGTTCCTGTCAGTACTCTGGCTGCAGCATTTTGGATTAACTGGAGGCTTTTTAGGGAATTATTGGGACATCCTGATAGTAAAGAGTTACAGTAGTCCAGCCTGGAAGTAACAAATGCATGGACCAGTTTTTCAGCATCACTTTGAGACAGGATGCTCCTGATTTTTGCAATATTGCGCAGGTGAAAGAAGGCAGATCTAGAGACTTGGTTTATGTGTGATTTAAAGGACATATTCTGATCAAAGATGACTCCAAGGTTCCTCACAGTAGTACTGGAGGCAAGAGCTATGTCATCTAAAGTAACTATATGATTAGACAGCAGATTTCTAAGGTTTTCAGGCCCAAGCACAATAACTTTGGTTTTGTCAGAGTTTAGAAGTAAGAAGTTGCAGGTCATCCAGGCCTTTATGTCTTTAAGACATGCTTGAAGTTTGACCAGCTGATCTGATTCATTTGGCTTCATAGATAAATATAACTGAGTATCATCTGCATAGCAATGGCAATTTATGTTGTGCTTCCTGATAATATTGCCTAAAGGGAGCATGTATAAAGTGAAGAGAATTGGACCTAACACAGAGCCCTGTGGAACGCCGTGACTAACTTCAGTTTGTGTGGAACATTCGTCATTAACATGAACAAATTGAAATCTTTCTGATAAATAAGATTTGAACCAACTTAGCGCAGTTCCTTTAATCCCAATAACATGTTCAAGTCTCTGCAGTAAGATGCTGTGATCAGTGGTGTCAAAAGCAGCACTGAGATCTAAGAGGACAAGTATGGAGACAAGTCCTTTGTCCGAGGCTAGGAGGAGATCATTGGTGACTTTCACCAATGCAGTTTCTGTACTATGATGGACTCTAAATCCTGACTGAAAATCCTCAAACAAATCATTCTTGTGCAAGTGGTCACATAACTGCTTTGCAACAGCTTTTTCAAGGATTTTGGAAATAAATGGGAGATTGGATATTGGTCTATAATTAGCTAGGACACCTGGGTCAAGAGTAGGCTTTTTGAGTAGAGGTTTAATTACTGCAACTTTAAAAGCCTGTGGAACATAACCTGTTAATAGAGAGAGGTTAATCAGATCTAGTATGGATGTGTTGATTAGTCTGTCTGAGCAAAACAGTCCTGCAGGGTGCTCTCAGTCTCCATGTTCCAAAGTTTCACTTGTTTAGTGACAGGGTTTCTTTGTTTCAGTCTTTGTCTGTAAGCTGGATACAGGAATAAAGAAATGTGGTCCGAGCGTCCAAGGTGGGGGCGGAGTGCAGCCCTGTATGCACCACGTATGTTACTGTAAACATGATCCAGAGTGTTCTTGCCCCGAGTGGGAATGTTCACATGTTGGTAATATTTGGGGAGTGCAGTCTGTAGATTGCACTGATTAAAGTTGCCTGCAGCGATAAATACAGCGTCGGGGTGCACTGTATTTAGCGTGCTGATGACATCATGGAGTTTGCCGAGAGCTGCCGTGGAATTAGCTCTTGGAGCTATGTATATTCCAGTCAAAAACACATAGCTTAACTCTCTTGGTAGATAATAGGGATGGCATTTCAGTAATAAAAACTCAATATCTGGTGAACAGTGCTTATAGACAGTCTGTACACCACGAGTTGATAAACACACACCAACCCCTGTGGCCTTACCAGCGGCTGCAGTCTGGTCTCCTCGGTGTACATAGTGAGTCTGTAGCTGAACGGTGGATTCTGGGACACTGTCTGACAGCCAGGTCTCGGTGAAAACGAGAGCGCACCACTCTCTTATTTCCCACTGTGTTGTGATCCTGCCTCTTAGCTAGTCCAGTTTGTTTTCCAGAGACTGCACATTTGCTAGTAAGAGGCTGGGTA